GGCAAATGTAAAATGGCCATTTTTTTTTCTTGACAGCAAAACAGCTCTTGGTGTTGTACATGCCCATGGAGCTTTGTGGTGGGAAAAAGGTTTGATTACAGCAAGAGGTAAACAGATTAAATATGGAGAAGAAATATTGCAGAATTTAGATTCCATATGAAAGCTAAGGGTGATTTACTAGTAGGATGCAGGCAGATGGATCTCTTTGGACTAGAGGGAAGGCAAACCTTCTGGAAGGAGGATCTCCAAAATCAAATCTGAGAGAAGCCAGTGGTTAATTAGTAGGCTGTAGTCACATCAACACACTGCCTGTTGCTACAGATCTGAAAGTCAAAGCAAGAGGTTATCAATGGAGTAAGACAGCACCTTCTGAATTAACTGAAACCTCTTTCAGGTTCTATATAGTATAAAAATCAAGGGGAAGTGATTCCTGATCCTTTAAGGGAAGCTTTGGGATTGCTTCATTGTTAGGTCACAACCAGCTCTGCCCTGGTTTTCTCATTTCTCTCTTCCACCTTCCCTATGCACATAGATAATGGCATCTGTCTGTGAAAGAGCCTTACCTGATATTTCCTAGGTGAAAAGAATAAAACAAAAATATCCTCATTTCCTAATTGTGAAGCCCACATAACCTACAGCCCCATTCCTTTCTTATTCATGAGGGATTTTCTACTCATCATGCCAGCCCTTGAGGTAGTCCAGAGCAGAATTAACCATAAATATTAACACTACCCTGATTGTAAGGTTACAGTAGCAGAATCTTTCAATATTGAAAGTATATTTCTACCACCTCATCTTTACGGACCAAGAGAATGGGTGGGAGGTGTTCCTCTTGAGATGTTTGCCAGGCCCCATTGCTTCTGCAGGCTAATCTACGTCTTATATGACCATTGAGCAGAAGTTTCCTCCTTCTTTTGTCTCTCAAGGATATTCTCACAGACCATTACAAGTGTATTTAACAATATAAAAAGAACGCTAAATTACTGGTCTTATAAAAAAATAAGAGCATAGATTAAAGATCATCAGATATGGGAGAAAGCAGCTCAAGAAAATAGTGGGACAGATAATGTGGCCATATCAACAAAATAGGAGTTTTCAGGAGGGAAGGATTTTCTTGGAGTTGTCAATCACCCATTTTTAAAAATACACCATCTTCCCAAAATAGTAATGAGGTACCAGTTCTCCATTCCTC